ACCTTAGCACCAGGTCCGGATCTACGAAGTTCAGATTCCTCCAGGTGGGTGTTGTTTGGATCTGGCTGCTGTGCTCCACTTCTTTCTGCTGCAGGCGTTAGAGTTGAACCCTTTGTGTCTCTCTGGGAAGGTGTTCTGCTCCTGAATCAGCTGGGTGGGTCTTGCCTCTAGCCTCTTTGCAGGGAGTTCTGCTGAAGGGTTCCCTGCTGGGCCTGCAGCCTGGTTCAAATGAGGATCCGTGGCCCAGGATCGTCTCACTCACTCGCAGGGCCTGTGCTCTGGGTCTGTTCAGGATCCCATGGCCCTCAGTCATCTCACTCACTCTCTGGGCCTGCGCTCTGGGTCTATTCAGGATCGGAGGACCCCAGGTCGTCTCAGTCACTGGCCGGGCCTGCGCTCTGGGTCTGTGCAGGATCCAGAAGGCCCTTGGTCGAAATTCTCTTTTTTAGAGACAAAAAGACAAAATCCATGAAACTCAAAACATCTGAGAAAATATTCTCCTATAACTGCAATCAGTTTTTCCACTAAAAGCATTTTAATTCCTTCATGAATTCGCCATGTCTCTTGTTCTATTTAAATAGTCAAAGGGAAAAAATAAAACAGAAAATGAGAAAACACTTAAATAAGATGCAACCCCAGACATCCAGCTCACCAAAGACAAACCCAGGAAGGAATGAGATGGGACAATCCAAAAGCCACCCACCTGGACTCTCTGAAGTAGTAACAACAAAGCAATTGAATGAGGCTCTAGAAAAATCAAATCAGAAATAATTTTTCTAATAACTACAGAGACAGTGATCACAATGGAAAACATGTTTACTGACTCTAGAGCAGACACAGATTTAAAAAAAAAAAAAAGAGGAGCTTAGGAAAGCGATGGAAATCACGAATGCTTAACATAGGAAAGAAACGGAATTCCCAAAACAGGTTTAAGCAGATACTCAGGAGATAAAAAATTCTATTGAAAGGGGGCCTGGCCGTAGCTCAGGCCTTTAAGTGGCTGCTTCCACAAAGCTGTCAGCCTCAGGTTGCTGGAGTTCGAACCTCACACCTCTCCAGCTGGCCAAAAGTGCCCTGAAGGCATTCGAGGAACAAAAAAAAAAAAAAATTCTATTGAAAGTTTCTGCAGCAGAATAAGTGAATGTGAGGACAGAATCTCAGATATAGAAGACAAGCTGGTGGCTAGAGATCATGAATAGAAAGATACTTTTAAAATAATAAGGGAGCATTAGAAATCAACCCAGCAGCTGCTAGATGATGCAAAAAAGAATAATATAAGATTCACTGGAGTTAATGAAAAAGCAAAGGGTAGCACAAATGATAGGAAAACACCTGTTGAGGCCAGGGATATAGCATAGCAGCACAGCACCTGCCTGGCAAGAGCAAGGTCCTGAGTGTGATTCCTGGTACAAAAAATAAAAAAGGAAGAAAAAGAAAATACCTGTTAACATTGCCAGTGAAGCAGAAGACCCAATACTATTATTGACCTCTGAACTGTTTTAGAATATTTTGCTGAGTTTACACACCTATAATATTTAAATGATGGAACTTAACAAAAAAAGGGGATACAGATGAATGTCCATTTGGTATCTGTGTATTCAAAGTGGTTAGGATAGAGTGGCTTTGTCTGCCGCCGCCTTTCTCAGACTGGTGGGACTCAGTTCGTGCTCTCATCGCCTTGGGCCTGCCGTCTTTTAGAGACCAAACGCCATGCCTTCAATTAAGTTGCAGAGTTCTGATGGAGAGATATTTGAAGTTGATGTTGAAAT